CAATAAGTATGGGTAACAGAAGAATTGATGCCTTTGAGCTGTGATGCTGGATTGAACATTCCATGAACTGTCAAGAGTACAAATAGGCTTGTCCTGGAGATGGTGAAACCGAGTTGCTCTTTGGAGGCTAGGATTTTGAAGCTCCATCTTTCCTACTTGGACATGTTGCCCAGAGGGCCCGGTCCTTAGAGAAGGACATCATGTTTGGAAAGGTGAAGGAAGACCACAGAAGAGGAAGGCCCTGGATGAGATGGATTGCCACAGTGACTGGGGTATGGGGGGCAGGTGTGTCGGAGACAGTGAGACAAGCTCAGGGGAGGGCAAAGTTCAGAGCTATTGTGCATAAAGTCGTAGTTGACTCAATGGTACGTAACAACAAACAACATGTTTTAGTAAGTTTCAGAGTCTTGTCTAATATTCATTTTGGTCTTTTGTTTCCTGTCTTTGTAATGATCATTTGTTTTCTTCACTGACAATATCCTTGATGTCCTACCATAACTTAGCTGGTCTTCAGTCATTACTGTTGAATACATCAAATCTATTCTTGAGATGGCTTTTTTTAGGACATACTCAAGGTTGTATGTATTTTGGTTCTCACGGACTTGGTTACATTTTCTTCCGTTTCAGTTGGAACTTGCACATGAGTAATCGATGGTTTTTCCATAGTCAGCCCTTGGCCTAATTTCGACTGCTGATACTGAACTTCTCCAACAGTTCTTTCCACAGAGGAAGTCACTCTGATTCCTGTGTAGTCTGTCAGATGAGGTCCATGTGTAAGAGTACTGTTCATGGTTGGTTTGTATTTTTAAAAAGGTATTTGCAATGAATAACTTACTGATTGTGCAAAATTTTATCATTTGATCTCATCCTGTCTTATTTCTGTCACTAAGTCCATATCCTTCAATATGGATTAAAACCCAATAGCAAGAAAATAAATATCCTTACCACTCAGGCAATAGGCACATCATCATAGATGGAGAAAAGATAGAAACTGTCAGTTATTTCTTCTTAACGTGGATCCACAATCAACAATCTTGGTACTAGCAGTCAGGAAATCAGGAGACTTGTTGCACTGGGAAAGTCTGCAGTCGGGGACCTCTCCAAAGTGCTGAAGAGGGAATGTCAGTTTAAACACTTAGGCAAGCCTGATTCAAGCAATGGTCTTTTCAGTTACTTCCTATGCATCTGAGAGTTGGACAGTGAATAAAGATGATGGAAGAAATATTGATACCTTTGTGTTGTGCTGTGTTGGAAACAGTACTGAAAATGTCTTGGAGAATGCAGCAATGCACCCCTTAGAGGGAAGGATGGTGAAACCCCATCTTACATATTAAGGGTATGTTGTTAGGAGGGACAGGTCCTTTAAAAAGGACATCATGCTCAGAAAAGTGGAGGATCACTGAAAGAGGAAGACCCTCAACGAAATGGACTGACATAGTGACTCCATCAATGGGCTCCCGTACATCAGAGATGCTGCAGACGGCACAGGACAGCGCAGGGTTCAGATCCATCGTTCACAGGGTCTCCATGACTCATGCTCTCCTTGATGGCCCCTAAGAATAACAGTCCTCCTTCATTTCTAACGTCTGCATTCCAGTCATGCGTTATTATACATGCACACTGACTGCATGTTTCATTCATTTCAGGTCAAAATCCATCATTCACAGCACTGTATCTTGAAATGTTCTTTTTTTCTATGGCAGATTTGTATTTTCTTTGGGAGCCCATGAGACACCAAGAATCTGTGCCAACACCACCACAATCAGGCATTGATTTTTATACATGCTTATATGCAACATAAAATATGGAAATTGATATCAAATATTTAGGAAACAAATTGTTTTTATCCAGTGCTTACTATAGAAAGAGTGCTTTAAATCTCTGTCAGAGTCTTCAGAATGGAAATCTTTCTTTTAAAGCTGTACTTTCACTTATAGATACACGTTGTGATTTCCTCCTTTTCTTCTTTCCTTATCTCAGCACGAGAGGATTAGCCAGACTCAGATCAGCCGAGGCCACGGACCCTGCTCCTGTCCACCAGGCCCCGCTGGTAGGGGCCTCTTCTGGGTGTAGGGAGGCTGCCTGGGCTCCATCTGCAGGTAGGTCACTTGGTGTGGCTCCCCTGGAATGAGAAGTTTGCTTTCCCGAACTGTGCTTGCTTCTCTTGAACGAAATGAGTATCTTGAATGAAGTGAGTCCATGATTCAAATGCAATCCCAGGAGGTTCTGCACCGCGTGGATCACTCACTAACTCAAGCAAGAGGGTTTTTGAAAATTCAGAGCTCCTTATCTTTTCTTTTCATCCTGCATAGAAGATTGTGCATTATTTTATGTATACCAAGTGACTGTATCTTTTTGTTTTCTAAATATACCTCTGTACCTTACTCCAAGCACTAACAAAAGACCCAGAGGTCACAGCCCTGTTGAGAGGTGTTCTTCCCCACTCTCCAGTCTGTTTCTGTACGCACTGAGATGTGAACGGAGCACTTGCTCACTGGCCGACTCATCTTTCGGAGGATCATAACGGCTTTTGCTGCACAGCTGGAAGCCTGCAATCTCTTCTCCTTTACGCATCGCAGCTGCCTTGTAGTTGCTGCACTTTGCTTCCTCGTGCTTCACAGATACTGTCTTTTTTTTTTTTTTTTTAGTGCTGAGTATGTCTATTGGCACCAATTTTCCAATAGCATGTGCTCACTTCACGCCTCTCTGTATCATTTTGGAATTCCCACACTATTTTGAAACTTTTTATGTCATCACACACTTCATTACCTACAGTGCAGGGAGCTCTGGCAGGCTAGTGGTAAGGAGTTTAGCTGCAATCCCTTAGACACACAGCTCAAATCTACCAGCTGCTCTGAGGGAAAAGGGTGGACATATCTTTCCAAGCAATTTACTGTCTCTGAAAATCACCTCCCATGCAATTTACTGTCTCTGAAAACCCCTTGAAGGGTCAGCTGTGGGCCGGTTGCAATTCGACAACACTCAATAACAACAGTGTGACCGTAAGTGGGAACCCAAGCATTCATGTGACTGGCTGTGCCGTGCTAATAGTTTTACTGCAGTGATCAGGAACTGAACCCTAACATCTCTGAAGTCTGCTGTTGTTAGCTGCCATCACCTGGAGTCTGAATCAGAGGGAGACTGGGTACAACAGAACACGACACCATCCCCACAATCGCTGCTGGGCTGGAGCCCATTGCTGGAGCCACAGTCTTGTCTGTCTCGTTGAAGCTTTCCTTTTCCACTGACGCTCAACCTCACAAAGCATGATGCCTTTCTCCAGGGACTGGCCTCCCCTAAAAATACACCCAAAGGACACCAGCCAAGTCTTGCCATCCTCCCTTTGAAAGGGCAGTCTGACAGCAATATAAAGTTTGTATAGGTTTGCCATCTAGTGGCCAGTTCCGAAAGTTGTTTTCCCTGAGTAATAACTTGTTAACTGAGGACAGCCACCCATCCGCCAGCCTTCATAAGAGAGCTTACAAAAAGCTGAGCGAACCTGGAGTTTGTTGATAATGTGGTAACAACAGTATAATTAGTCATTTATAGGCAAGGATTCTGGGGCTTCGTCTGGCATACTTTGGACATGTTGCAAGGAGAGACAGGTCTTTAGAGAGGGACATCATGCTGGGTAGAGTAGAGGGACAGCACAGGAGGGGAAGATCCCCTATGAGGTGGATTGATTCAGTGACTGGGGTAATCGGGATGGGTGTGTCAGAGGCAATGCGATTGGAACAGGATAGAGCAGGGTTTAGGGCTGTTGCACACAGGGTCGCTATGAGTCGCAAACGACTCCACAGCACATAACAACAACAACAACAACATAGGCCATTGTCTTTTCAATCACTGGCTATGCTGCTGAGAGCTGGACAGTGAATAAGCAGGACAGAAGAGGAACAATGACAACAACAACACTTAAGCCAAGAAGTAAAGCCAAAGTAGCGAATTAAAAAGCAGAAGTCTTTTTTTTTCATTTAAAAAAAATTTTTATAATGATTTATTTACAGAGTTTGAATACCTTGTTTTTCACAAAAGATTCTTCCCATTTTCTTCACGCCTCCGTCAAATTGCACAACCGTATGACTAACACCGCCCCCTCATCCTCACCCCTCTGCTTCCACCCTCCCACCTCCCTTGGATCCTCATACTCATTCTACAATAATGGTTTTATGCTGTATTTGTCCTTATGGGACTGTGTTAGTTCATTTGGCATAATGCTTTCCAATCCCTCCCAAGTTAGGTAGTGATTTACAAAATCACTGTTCCTACACACTGCGTAGTATTCCATTATATGAATGTACCACAACTTCTCAATCCATTTGTTTGTGGTTGGACATCTGGGCTGTTTCCATGTTTTTGCGATGGTGAATTAAAAAAAAAAAATAGCAAGAATCTTTATTTGAGGCTTTTGATAAATTTTGGTTAGTATCCAGAGATTGATTTAAATTCAGTGGTAACTTACTACTAATTCAGATCTAATGGAATGTGGTTGTTACGGGCTATCCAGTTAAGACAACTCACAGTGACTCTATGAACAACAGACCTGAACTCTGTCCTCTCCTGCACCGTCTTCAACATCTCGGACACACTTGAGCCCATTGCTATAGTGACTGCGTCAGTCCATCTTGATGAGGGTCTTCCTCTCTTTTGCTGACCCTCTACCTTTCCAAGCATGATGTCCCTCTGCAAGCAAGTGCCTTTCCTAGCAGTATGCTCAAAAGTATGTGAGACGAAGCTCTGTCAGCCTTGTCTTCCAGCACGATCTGTAGGAACTGGTGCTGCTAACCCAAAGGTTGCTTTCCTCTGGCAATCTGAATCCTCTAGCAGCTCCTTGACAGAAAAAGATGGGCAATTTCTTCCTGTGTGATGTGCGACCTTAGAAACCCAAGGCACAGTCAGCTATGCGTCGGTCTGACTCGACAGTAATGAGAGAGAATTTAGTGCTGACTGAAAGCTTAATTGGGGCCATCCCCACCAGATTATATTATTTGCAAACATACCTGAAGTCGAGCATTTACGAGCATAAACTCTTGCTGATTTTTCATGTTTTCATTCATTGATTTAGAAAATATAAATCCCATCTTGACCTAAAATGTAAAAAGTAAAGATATTAGAATAATATAAGCAATACGCTTCCCAGGATCACCGTATGAGCTGCTTTTGGTTACCGTGAATTTAAGAAAAGGTAAAGAAAGAAAAAAAGGTTCTGAGCCAGGAGCCTAATTTGGGTTTAGTTCCTGTTCCTCACTAGGGTTCTGAACCAACATTTATCTACCCATGACCAGCCGGGTGGACCCGAGGACTGCACAAGTCTTTTCCTGCACCAAAAGCAAAAGGCGCTGTGATTCATGATTTTCATCCCTGCTGGAAATCTTGGTTTTCTGAATCCCGGTGTCTACAGATCCATACTATTAATTTTGGTCTTACTTTAAAGACTATAAGTTGCACTAGTTCCAAGTCTTGGTATTTTTGGTTGTTTCCTGTGCATCATCTGAAACTTGGACAGTGAGTTAAAATGACAGAAAAATTGATGCCTTTGGATTGTGAATATCCCATGGAGCACCAGAAGACGACACAAATCTGACTTGGAGGAAGTACAATCAGGGTGCTTCTTTGGTAAAACTTCATCTCACATCCTCTGGGTGTGTTATCAGAAGCAGCCAGTCCTTGGAAGAAGAACACTGTGAAGTTCCTAAGTGGGCTGGCAATTGAGGATGGGCTGCTGTTATGTGTCTTCGAGTCAAACTTACTGATAGCTGGTGCTCCAGAAAATTTTCAGAGGCTTTAAATCACACAGGAGAAGAATGCCCATCTGTCTTCTGGGGATCAGCTGGTGGATTCGAACCACATGCTCTTGGGTTGGCAGTACAACTCCTTACCCACTAGGCTACCAGAGCTCCCTTAAGGGTAGACTAGAAACCCAGTTTTGTTCTTAATCCAGTCAGACAGGGGCAGAGGGCCTTAAATTCATTGCTGATTTTTTCTTTCAGAAACCTGCAGGACTTAGGCCAAAGTTCTAGACATTGGTAGTTGCTTTGGGAAAGGCTGCTAGCAGGCACCTCTCCAGAGTGCAAAAAAGCAATGATGTCAGTTTAGAGACTAAGGTGTGCCTGATCCAGACCACGGTCTTCTCGATTGCTTGCTATGCATCAGAGAGCAGGGCAATTACTTGGATGACAGAAGAATCAATGCCTTTGAATTTTGGTGCTGAAGAAGAGTATTGAACATACCATGGACTACCAAGAGAACAAACAGGTCTGTCCTAGAGAAGGCGAAACTAAGTTGTTCCTTGGAGGCAAGGGTTTTGAAACTCTGTCTCACCTTCCTTGAGCATACTGCCAGAAGGAAACAGCCTTGGAGAAGGACATGACGCTTGGAAAGGTAAAAGGTCGGCGCAGGAGAAGATGATCCTGTGGCTGTGGCAATGGGGTCAGATGCATCAGAGGTAGTGAGGTTGGCTCAGAATAGGACAGAGCTCAGAGCTATTGTCCAGAGGGTCACCATATTCACAACAGCAACTCCAGCAACTCTCCTCAATAATGTTGCCACCACCTTTTTTCTTTGGGTTGCAACGGCTGTCAAGCCATGTTACTGAAGCTCAAGTCAAGAGTGACCGACCTTAATGCTTTACATTGAGGATCACGGTGTTCAGAAGGAACCCCAGAGTTCCTGTCTGCCACACCCTCACCAGAAAATCCCGGGTTCTAGCTAATGGGGAAGCAGATGGGTTCCCTGGCTATGGATGCTGCCTACCTGCAGTTACAGTGGCCTCTGAGCCTGGGAAGCTTCAAGGATGTGCAGGGGACTAAACCGCTAAACCTCTCTCTGGTGAGAAGCTGTGTATTGGGAGGCAGAGGCACTGACCAGCCAGCCAGAGACAAACCTGGGAGATAGAGCAATCTGTACCTTTGAGTTTTGGTGCTGGAGAATACTATGGACTACCAAGAGAACAAACAGGTCTGTCTTAGAGAAGGTGAAACCAAGTTGTTCTTGGAGGCAAGGACTTTGAAACTCTGTCTCACCTTCCTTGAGCATGTTCAGGTGAGAGGTGTCCCTTGCCCTGTTGCCACTGTCCTATTCCATGAACCTGTGACCAGAGATACAGCCACCCACTTAAGGGTGGGGACATCTAGACTTTCCCCCCTCTTCTGAACTTTGATACCCACATTGATGTACACTTCCTATTAGTCACCTTAGAGACTCACACATGCCTCATTAAGGTCATGGCAAGCAAGGACAATGTTAAAACACCAGCTCAGGTGTCCTCTCTTTGATGGGCTGTGTTTGCCTTCTGCACACAGGCCTGGATTCTTCCATGTTTAAGACATCTGTCAAAAAAGCAGTTGCCCTGCGCTCTGGCTCTTCCACACACAGACCTCCTATGCCACACCAATGTGTTCTCAGACTGTGTGTAAGGGGTGGGATCTCCCATAGCAGTCATCTGGAGGGGAGACAAGAGAAGCTTCTGGAAAGGCAGGGCCTGGAGACCCTATGGCTGGAATCTGGGTGGTTATCCCCTCAGCGATGAGGGGTTAAAGGTGGAAGCCTGGGAGACAGGGTATGAAACCAGCTTTCCTCCCTGAAGGTGACTGCAGCATACCAGGTAAACTACACCCTGGAGCTCTATCCTTTCAACTTTCCCCTCCTTCTCCAAATTAGGGATCTTCTCCAAAGTCCCAGGGGTGACCTGAAGGGCCCTTATCCTCAGCTTTCTGTCTGCACTTCTAGAAAGCAGCCCAGAAAGCAAGCAGAAGTGAACTTAATACAAGTCCTACATAATACAAGTCTCCTTGCCGCTTACATCCTAGACACCAGTGTGCCCTGAGACCTGGAGCAAGGTCGCTGACATGGGCCCCTGCCTGCCTTTCTCCTTTCACTTTCAAGCTCTGCCTCTGCTGTGCTAGGTGGAGGCGTCTTTTTAGGACAGATGAGGACTAAGAGACACCCAGTCTTTTGTAAAGACTAGTTAGTTGAGGGTCTCTGTCATTCAGATCTTGCACATTTTTCTGAGCAAGTGAGAAAGAAGTTCATCACCTAAATTGGTGATCAGGGACGCAATCACCATCAGGCTCACTAAGCAGTCTTGTGTTTCATACAAACTTCCGCCGTCAGATCCAGGTGGAGCCCGCAGCTTAGGGAGTGGGAGATGGGGAGGTCCAGGTGGAGCCCGCAGGTTAGAGGTGGGAGCTGAGGGAGGTCCAAGTGAGGCCCGCAGCTTAGGGAGCTGGAGCTGCGGGAGGTCCAGGTGGAGCCCGCAAGTTAAGGAGCTGGGGGCGGTTTCCAGGGTGAACGCACTCCCTGTCCCCGGGACCCAGTGGATGTTCTGCAATGCCATGCTGCCTTCCGTGGGTGACACAATCCTGTTTCCCCAAGTGGACCAGGCAGAGGTCACCGCCCACCCACCAAGGGGTCGCCCACTCACTGCATGAAGGAGCTCCGGACCGCACAGGCGACTGTCCCACCCCGCTTCCGGGGCGTCGGGGGCGGGGACCCGGCCTCGACCAATCAGCGCGGCCCGCGGCTTCCTTAAAGGACCTGCGCCGGAAGCGCTCCCGTCCGGGCGGGGTGTGGCAGGTCCTTGTCGAATGCTTAGGGTGGGGAGTCCATGCAGCGCGGCTGGTCCATGTAGCGCGGGGTGTCCCCTGCAGCGCCGGGCATCCTGCATGTAGCACGGTGGGTGTCCCTACAGCGTGGGGCATCCTGCATGCAGCGCGGGGGTTGTCCCTACAGCGCGGGAAAGGGATCTTGCATGTACTGCAGGGCGTCCTGCATGCAGCGCGGGGGGTGTCCCTACAGCGCGGGGGGGTCTTGCATGCAGCGCGGGGTGTCCTGCATGCAGCGTGGGAAGGGGATCTTGCATGCAGTGCAGGGCGTCCTGCATGCAGCGCGCGGGGAGGGGGGTTGTCCCTTGCAGCACGGGGATTTTAGCAGGAAGTTCAACCCGCAGTTCCTCCGGGGTCAACCCGTGAGAGCAGACCCAGGCAGGCAGATCCACACAGGCAAGCAGGTGGGAGAGCTTCCAGGTGAGGCCGGCCATGTACCCGCGTGCTGCAGACAACTCTTCTCCGCAGCGTTTAATCAGCAGTGTCGGTGTGACTCCCCACAAAACGTCATCAGGCTCTTTTTAGGAAGAAGAATGTGTCCTGCGACAGATTGTCATTTAAACAATAACTCATTATACACGGGGCTTGGTGGGAGTTTCCCCCCCAGAGCTTTTATATGAATTTATTAACTTTAAAACACTACTATAGTTTTATAACTTTTAATATTTAGGGAGCTCTGGTGATTGCTGCGCTACAATCCCAGCGGCACCTGTTTCAAATTCACCAGCTGCTCTTCCGAGAATGACAATCTCCTGTGCAATTTACCACCTCTGAAAACCCACTGGAGGGTCAACAATGGGTCGCTTGCGGCTCCAAGGCACCCCACAACAACATAGTTGAGTGTTAAAAGAAAACAAAGTCGTGAACACATAAGGACTGCAGTCTGTCACCTATGCATTCTTGCATACCAAATATTAGCAGTGAGTGTTTTCGGTGGACTCCATTAAGAATCAGGGCACAGAACCACACCCCTGGGGTGATGTCTCATCCTCCTGTACTGCTTCACTGTAATATGTCTTTCTGGGTTTGGGTCAAAGCCCACGGTTTTCCTGATCCATTTCATCAGTCTCTTCTTCCTTCCTCTCAGGAGTTTTCTCAGCAGAGAGAGAAAACTACTCTTGAGAAAGTTTCCCTTAAATACGGTGATTATCATTGTTGTCAGGTGCTGTCGAGTCAAGTACAACTCATAGCCACCCTATGAACAGCCAACCTGAACCCTGCCCTATCCTGTGCCATCCTCATCTTTGGGACACTCGAGCCCACTGCTGAAGTCAGTGTCCATTAATATTGGGTCTTCCTCTCCTTCTTTGTCACTCCATCTTTCCAATCATGATTGATGTCCCTTTTCAAGGAATAGCCTCGCCTGCCTAGCTACATGTCCAAAGTATGAAAGATGAAGCTTTGTCATCCCTGCCTCCAAGGAGCATTCTGGCTGCACTTTTCCCAAGACATTTGTTCTTTTAGCAGTCCATGGGATA